TGGAGGACAGAGTCCCTTCCTGCTTGCCGGTCGCAGTGCCCGTGTCTGCTGTCTGTGCCAGTCAGCCATGCACAGGGAGTAGCCTCTGAGTTAATCCCCTAAGCTTCTGTGGGTGGGGCAGCCCTTGGGATGGCCTAGGCAATGGCAGGGGTCGCAGGTGAGTGGCGTGGGTATTTGCAGGGAGGACAAAGCCCTTTTGTGCTTCCCAGTTGCCGTGTCTGTCTCTGCTGTCTGTGCTGGTTAACCGTGTGCAGGAGTAGCCTTTGGGTTAATCCCCTAAGCTGCCATGGACAGGGTGGCCCTTGGGATGGCCGAGGGTGATGGTGGGGGTTGCGGGCACATGGCACGGTGTTTGCAGGGATGGCAAAGCCCTTCCACGCTTCCTGGTTGCTATGTCTGTCTCCACTGTCTGGGCTGGTTAGCTGTGCACAGAAAGAAGCCTCTGCATTAAGCTGTGTAGTTGCTATATGCGGGGCTTCCCTCCAGCTGGTCTGTAGCCATGGTGGGTACAGATGGTTTGCTTGCAAGTGCCAGCGGGGAGGAATGAGTGGCAGGCTGCTTATCGCAGTGAGGGGCCTCAGGGCTTCATTGCCAACCAGGGGAATAGGGCACCTGAAACTCTTGAAAGTTCCCAACCTGCTGGGCTGTGTGTGCCAGGACGATTTTGTCCACCTGCTCCTTTTCCTAAACCTTTGCCCCTTAAGCAGCCTTCTGCTGTTGAGAAGTCTTTTAAAGCACCTGCTTTTCTTTTGTCCCAGGGCAGCCAGGTGGTTGTGGGAACCTATTCGCAGTCTTAGTCTCTGACTTTGGTTTTCAGCCCCTCTGATCTCCAGAGCACCCTGCAGTGTGGTGTGTGCTCCCAGGGTAGATTTCTAGGGCTGGGTGTTCAGCAGCCCTGTGCTTCCACTCCCTCCCCGCTCTGATGCTCTTCCTCCCACTGGTGAGCTGGGGTCGGGGGAGTGCTCAGGTCCCGCCAAGTCGTGGCTTTTTCTGTTAACCTTTTTCTGTGAGATGTTGACTTCTCCCAGATGTAGACTGGCTAGAGTACTCTTACTTCTGGTTACTCTTTTAGGAATAGATGTATTTGCTGTATTTTCAAAATATATGTGGTTTTTGGAGGAGATTTCTGCCATACTTCTCATGCTGCCATCATTTTCTCCTGGGAGAGTATATTTGTAAACAAGGTATCTGACAAGGGGTTAACATAAAAAATATATAAAGAACTCACATGCCTTAACACCCAAAAAGCAAATAACCTAATTAAAAAATGGGCAAAGGATATGAACAGACAGTTCTCCAAAGAAGAAATTCAGATGGCCAACAGGCACATGAAAAGATGCTCCACATTGCTAATGATCAGGTAAATGCAAATTAAAACCACAATGAGATATCACCTCACACCAGTTAGGACTGCCCACATTGAAAAGACTAGGAACAACAAATGCTGGCAAGGATGTGCAGAAAGGGGAACCCTCCTTCACTGCTGGTGGGCATGTAAATTCCCTCAAAAAACTAAAACTAGAAATACCATTTGACCCAGGAATTCTACTTATAGGAATTTACCCAAATAAAACAAGTTCTCAGATTCAATAAGACATATGCACTCCTACATTTATTGTAGCACTATGTACAGTAGCCAAGATATGGAAGCAACCTAAGTGTCCATTCGTAGATGAATGGATAAAGAAAATGTAGTACATATATCCAATGGAATAATTCAGGCATAAGAAGAAAACAAATCCTACCATTTGCAACAAGATGGATGGAGCTAGAGGGTATTATGCTCAGTGAAATAAGCCAGGCAGATAAAGATAAGTACCAAATGATTTCCCTTATTTGTGGAGTATAACAATGAAGCAAAACTGAAGGAGCAAAACAGCAGCAGACTCACAGACTCCAAGAAGGGACTAGCAGTTACCAAAGGGAAAGGGGATGGGGAGGCTGGGTGGGAGGCAGGGAGAAGGGGATTGACGGGTGTGATGATTGGTACACATGGTGTGTGTGTGTGTGTGTGAGTCACGGGGAAGACAGTGTAGCTCAGAGAAGACGAGTAGTGACTCTGTAGCATCTTATTACACTGATGGACAGTGAGGGGGTGACTCGATAATATGGGTGAATGTAGTAACCACATTGTTTTTCATGTGAAGCCTTCATAAGAGTGTATATCAATGATATCTTAACAAAAAAAACTAGAATATGTTAAAGATGACATTAAAAAAAAAACCAAACTTACCAGAATCCAAATTGAAAATTTTGGGACAGAAGAGAATTTTATAATAATAGTCAACATTGCTTTGTATTTAGTAAATAGCTCAAATGCTATTTGACATATTAGAATATGAAATAATTTTGGCCACATTTTTAATGCCAGCGAGCGTATCTCACTTCCTTGGTACCGAAATAATACAGATATGAGTTAACAATGGGTCAAAGCATAAACTAAAACAGAGCAAAAAACCTCAAAACTCAAAAGCCCACTACCATTGGGGGTTTAAGTGTTATTCAAACTACAAGAGAATAAAGTGAACAAGATTTGAGTTAGAATTTAATTAGGAAAATAATTTGACATACCTTTGTAATCACTTTACCAAGTTCAAAATCTGGCCTTCTGCCTATTGAATAATCAGCTTTCACTTCAGAATAGGTATTGTTAATTATTGCCAAGAACATGTTCTGGGGAGAAATGTTCAAATAATTATTTTAATAAGAATTGAAATATTAGTGACTATGACAGGTGCTGGGATTTGTATGACTAGGTTTAAATTTTAAAAGTTACTCCTGTTCAGTAGTAAAGAAATGGCTATGCAGACTACAGTAGAATGGGATATGTGTAGTATGTGGATATGGGTAAATGTTTATGGTAAATGAGAAAAACAGAACAAAATGAGTATATGAGCTGATTCCTACTCTATATACATTAATGTATCAGTATTATATGTCTGAGGAATTCTTAGAATAATGTAATTATATGTTCATAAAGTTTTTAATTCTGCAAAGCCGTTTTAATATACATTCTTACCAAGGCTGTTCTGACTACTAATGTGCAGGTGTCACAAAGAATTGTGGAGAGGGTATTTTTACCGCCAGCCTACCTCTCTACATTTCACTGTGGCCCAGGTCTGTCACCCTGAGGACTCCTGGCCACCATCAGGGGATAAGTGCTATGCATGACAAAATACTTTTTCATGGGGGACACTAACAGTGCCTGGACTATGAAGGCAAATTTCCTTGATAAAGAGGTCCTTAGCACAGGTGAGAGACCTATCCTGTGGTCTCCTAGAATCACAAAAGTGTGAGTCTTCAGCTGTAAGAGCCAAAAGCCATTGCAATACACGCAGAATATTAATGGTCTAATTCACATCTACTGGTATGGAATGTCCCAGGCTGGAGAGACCTGTGACATTCAAGTTCTACTTGTAAAAGATTTAGCCACTCCAGGCACACAATAAACACCCACTTGGTTAACTTGGGATCGCATTCTCCATTTTACAACCTGAAAACATTTAGACCCTGGACTAGAGAACCTGGATTACTAGGAATCCCACCGCTCTTAATAAATGTAAAATGTTTGACAGTTAAGCAGTGATGCTGTAATGTCTTATAATTGGTAATTTCATTTTTTATTCTAATACATGTAAGCAAAAAAGGAAATGTCATTCTTACCAGCAGGACAAAGAACACAAAGAAGATGAAAGTGATGAAGTAAATGGGTCCCAAGATACGATTGGCTTGTTGAATACCAGCAAAATTAACATCTCCAAGAACAATTCGAAATTGTGCAAATCTTTGATGGGCAGGAAAAAAATTAGAAAATCTTATATCCCTTCATACATATGACAACTGATGGGGTTTACCAATGTGTCTAGGAAAGTAGCTGCATGTGGCAGTATATCTCTGGCTTTATTAGTTTTTTAGTTCAGGGGTCAATAAATGTATAGATGTAGCAATTTTCCCTAAAGGCAAGACAAGGTGTACCTCGATAGTTGAATAGTAGTTCAGGAAATGATGGTCTTCAGTTCACTTAACTGAGTGAACTCTGATGTTCACCTGTAAGATTTGAACCTTGAGATACCTGCTTACCAACTGGTCTTGGCAGTGGCCTCCTTAGTTCCTATGCTCTTCTAAAACTTAGAACACTTTAACCTTGCCCAATAAATGATTTTCAACTTGTACACTGACCTGAGAGCCCTAAAATTTCTAGTATCAATGATATGTTTAATTTTTGTACCTTTTCTGCTAAAACGAGGATGCCAACAATTTGTCACTTGCTAAGTCTCAAACAAGTACTGGTAATGACCCTCAAATATGACCTTGAGTTTTTTATTTTATTCTATTCGGTAACTATAAAATCTTGGTTTTGATGTGAAATAGCATTTAAAATATAACAAATCTTCATTTTATTAATGCTAAAGAGAGAAAATAAAGTTTTTGAATGGGCATAGTAGTAGCAGAGAATTAAGATTTCTTAACTGAAGTCTTATTTTCTCATTATTAACTTGAAATGCATTGCCAGACACACTAGAGATATGTTATAAATTATGTAAATGAATTTTTTATTTTAGGGGAAGAAATTTTTAATAGTATATAAATACTTTGCATGATTGGTCAGTCAATTAAAAGGAAGAGTGCTTATTCCTTGCAGCTTTTGCCAATCACATAAAGGGAGCACAGGGCTATCTACAATGAAGGAAGGAAACACATTCAAAGACATAGGCTTCGTGGAGTCCTAGGACTCAGAGTGATGCGGAATTTTATCCCAGCACCTGAGACATGATTAAATCATATGTGAGGTATTTATCGAACTTACAATACTGGTTTGTAGTGTTCTTGTACACGAGATAGAGAAATGCTGCATTGGAAGGAGACCAGTGAACAAATCAAATGTATCTTACTCTCCGGTATAAGAGAATAAGAGGTTCTGCTTTAGTGTTTGTAATTTGATCTTTTATCCTAGAGTTGTGTTTATGTAAGAAAAGATAAGTTAAAGGAACCATTTCTCTTCTCCAGAAATTAGCTTGTTATCTAAAGCTTCCATTCAGCCCTCTTTTTTTCTTTTTTTTTAAATCAGGAAGGTGCCCAGATTATCTCTGCTGTGTAGTAATAATGTGAATAACAAAAACCTAAGCATTTTACTAAGGGTTATAATCGCATTGGAACTAGAGACTCTAAATACAATGCTATTGTTCTTTTCTCCTCTTAATTGGAGTTGTTTTTTGTTGTTGTTTTGGCAAGCTAAAAGGAAAACCAAGACTCCTCAGTATGTGGATTTATACTGAAGGAAAATAGCTTTTTAACTTCTTGGTACCCCTGATAACTTTTTGAGTTCTCTCTTATTGAATTAAAATAGCTAACAAATTGTTTTATAATAAATGTACTATTTGTTGTTAATATGACTTTCTAATCTCTCACTTGGAGGCAGTTGGTTATTTAGCTATTCCCAAGCATCTCTGAATATTTCCTCTATTCCACTCTGCCTTCTTCTTTAACTTAGGTTAAACATATATTAGGCCTTCTCATTCATTCCATCTTTTATGTTTTATACCGTCTCCCAACATCTTGTCTATGCCACATTTTCAGTGATTTTTTTCTGACCTGTTTTTCACTTTACTCATCCTCTCTTCATCTGTTTTATTTGCTGTCAAACCTGTCAACTAGGTTGTTAATCTCAGTGTAATTTTCAGTTCTGGATTCTATTTGATATTTTTTCAAATGTCACTTTTAAACTGTTTTTTAAAGATATTTTATGACTTTTATTTTCCTAAATATAATAAGTATTGCATGATTATTCCAATATCTTAAGTCTTTGGTTCTGTTTCTCTTGTTGTATCTGCTGGCTCTTGCTTATCATTTTTTTTCTGCTTATAATTTTTTTTCTCCTTATATACCAGGTTATCTTTGACTATAAGCAGTAAATTATATTTGAAAAATTACTTGTAGAAGTAATCTAAGGCTTAGGGTGAAGATACCCTTCTCAGTAGAGGTTTTTTGTTTGTGTCTACAGTTGCATGCAGGCATTCTAGCCTGGGACCAACTTAATCCAAGTCTTAAGACATGAAATTCCCTCAATACCTAGGTGATTAAACCCAGGCTTTAAGTCACTATGACAGAGTCAGCTTTTACTTGAGGCTATAGCACTTCATGTTCTCTGCTGGATGTTTGGAGAGGTTGTAAGACAAGCACCTCCACCTCCACCCTCACCCCCCGACTCTCTAATATGCAGACCCTGAGCTTTTCTTTCTGTCTCTTCCCTGAGAGGTGACCAGAACACAGTTTCTCAACTATTTTTTCTGGATAAGCAAAAACACATTCAGGGTGGAGGATTTGGGGAAGATGGGGGGCTAAGAAGCACTAAGAATATCTCTTCACCTAGACCACACACTAGCAGAATCTATCTGATCTAAGTATTTTGGAACTCTGGAGTCTATTGAAGGCTTGCACCTTCTTGGGGAAGGCTTGGAAGATTTTGGTCAATTTCAGCTTTTAGTGTTAGCACCAGCTACCCATTTCATTTCCCAGTTCCACCCCTCCCCATGGCAGGCAGCTGTGCATGTATTCCTGGAGCAGCTTGCATGCAGTTTATGTGAACCAGGGTGGGCAATAAGGAAGCCGTTCTCCGAATATTGGGTGTGTGCGTTCTGATTGCTGATTGCTGCTTCTGATCAGATGTATAGGCAGAGGTGAACATGCTCACATCTTTGTTATAGGCCCCTTCCCCTCTGGCTGAAATAGTGTTCTTGGGATTAAAGGGCTGGTGCCCTTCCATTCCCCTTCATTTTTCTCCTTTTCCCCATTTGGGGCCCAGACATTGAAGACTAGGACATTCAAAAGCAATAGCATATAGAGAAGAAATTAGAAAGTCACCATGCATGGCGCAGGAAAGGTTCAGGCTCTGAGAAGACCTGAGAAGACCTTAAATGTGTACCTCAGGCTGATCCTCAGGACGAAAACAGCATGTAACAATAAACAAACAGCAAGCCCTGGGGAAGGGGAAGAGTCTGATTTCCAGGCTTATCACTTTATTATATTGAAGTGTCCAGTTTTCAGCAAAAAAGGTAAGCTATACAAAGAAACAGGCACATATAGTCCATTCAAAGGAAAAAAATAAACCAAGAGAAACTCTCCCTGAGAAAGCCCAGATGGCAGACCTACTAAAATAAAGACTTTAAAACACGGGTGTTCAAAGAACTAAAAGAAGACATAGAGAAAGTCAAGAAATTATGTATGAAAGAAAGGGACATATCAAGAAAAAGAAAACCTAAAATGCAATTCTAGAGCCAAAAGGCACACGAACTGAAATGAAAATTCACTAGAGGGATTCAAAGGTAGATTTGAGCAGGTTGAAGGAAAAAAAATTACTCAACCTGAAGATAGAACAATTGAAATTACTGTCTGAGGAACAGAAGGAAGAAAGAAGGAAGGAGAGCTAACAGGGCCTGAGGGACCTGAGAGACACCACCAGGCAGACTAGCATTATCCTAAGAACATGAGAAGACGCTCAATACCAATAATCACCAGGGAAATGCAAATCAAAACCACAATGAGATATCACCACACCCATTAGGATGGCTACTATTTAAAAAAAGCCCAGAAATTAACGTGTGTTGACAAGGAGGTAGAGAAATTTGACATGCCTGTGCACTATTAGCAAGAATGTAAAATGGTACAGGTACTGTGAGAAATGGTATGTATGGTGGTTCCTCAAGGAATTCCAAGTAGGATTACCATGTGATGCAGCAATTCCACCTCTGGGTATATACCAGAAAGAACTGAAAGCAGGGTCTTGAAGAGAGATTTATACACCTATGTTCATCAAAGCATTATTCATAATAGCTTAATCCTGGAAGTAACCCAAGTGTTCACTGACAGATGAGTGGTGGATAAACAAAATGTGGTTCATACATATAATGGGATATCTTAGAAAAGAAATTATGATATATTGTTTAACATGGATGAAACAAAGACATTTTGTAATTGAAATAAATCAGTTACAAAAAGACACATGCTGTATAATTCTACTAGGTACCTAGAATAATTAAAATCAGAGAAAAAAAGTAGAATGGTGGTTTCCAGGGGCTTGGAAGAATAGGAATTGGAGAGTTCTTGTTTAATGGGTGCAGAGTTTTAGTTTTGCAAGATGACAAGAGTTCTGGAGGTGAGTGGTGGTGATGGCTGCACAATGTGAGTGTGCTTAATGTGACGAAACTGTCCACTTAGAAATGGTTAAGATGGTAAATTTGATATGTATTTTACCACAATTAAAAAAAAATTCCTTATCAGCTTAAAAAAAAAAAAAGCCTGAAGGGCAAAAGTAGCTTTGGATGCTGGGCTTACTTTTCTGGGTTTGTGTCTTTTGATTTTGGCTCTGTTATTACTTTTTTGTTAGTTCAATGTTTTCTGTATTTCATCCAGTTTTTTAAGTTGTTCTGAAGAAGAGGTTGATTTGAGAAACCCAGCAGTTCATTACCAAAAGCAGAAGTCCCCCTATTGATCCATTCCCAATGCTCTGCCTGTTTATTCTATGCCTTACACTTCCTTTGCTCCCCGCTATCCAGGAAAAGACAAATTTCAAGTTCTGTAATTTACTGCATTTATAGTCAGTGTTCAATACTATTAAGTTTTATTAATAGTAACATTTGAGTTAAGATCCTAGGGAAGGACCAAGAAGTTGTTGGAACTGCAAACATTTATTCAAGGTAAGCTAATTAAACTTGTTGAATTATAGGTCATTTGAAATTGGAAGGGACTTTGGGAGTAAGTTAGTCCAATCCCTTAATTTACAGATAATGAAATTAAGGTTGAGAAAAGTTAAGCAGCTGGTGGCAGAATTGTAAAGCAGAATTATAACCTCTTCATTCCTAGTCTGCTCTTCTTTCCACTACTGATTGAGTAAAGGGTTATTTTAGAAAATGCTACAAAATTTCATACTATTGGTGTTTCAATTATTTACATGTGTATAGTGAAGAGGGCAAACTACAACATTTCTTTAGACCAGAGTTTCTCCAAAATTCAACAAAAGTGTTATGGACAAATAAGTTTGGGGAATTCTTAACTAAAGAAAGGTTTTGCAGTTTTTCTCAGAGTTGTATTTTAATTTCTGCAAATTAAAAGAGTGATGCAAAATTTCCAGACCTAACTTAAATATAAAGCCATTTCCCTCCAGTCTTGATGTAGATTCCACAGAACATATTTTGAAAATTGATATTTTAGACTATCATAATTTTTTTATACAAACAGAACTTGCTTTACCTGCCCCAAAAGAAGACTAAACTTATTTAAATTACTCACTTTAAAGAAAAGCCTGCATACTTTTTAGGGTTTCTACCTAATCAATTCTGTAAGTTTGTTGCCTGCTGACTGCTTTATGCATATTTAAAAATACATAATTTAAAAATAGTTTGGCCAGATCAGCAAAGAACAATCATGTTAATTTAATATCAAGAGAATTCTAGATATGGAACCCTGTAAAGAAAACACTTGATTTCTTTTGCTCAGAGAATAAACACTACAGAGACAGAGGCCAATTTCTATTAGGTAAAATTTTCACTTTCAGTGAAAAGTGGAAAATTTTTTTTCTAACTTGACCTAGTAGCACTTAAAAAATGGGTATAAGCATCCATTTGGATCTTTCAATGCTAAACTACTTTGAGTGTGACAGGTATTTAGCCATCAGTGAAATAGTAAACCAAGCTTAAATGTATTAAAGGTTATGTTACTACTTATCATAAGCCTTTCCATGATTTTTTTGGCAGTATATTAAAGAATATTATTACATTTATAAAGCTTACATAGAATTTTGAAAAGTGGAAAAGTCGTCAACTTGTGATCCAAAAACAAGAAATCCTAGCTGGGCATAAGCAAAGAATATTATAAAAAACATGATGGTAAATCCTACTATGTCTTTGATACATCGGGACAAGGTCGATGACAGCTGAGACATTGTCCTATTAAAGTTTATGAATTTGAGTATCTGAAAAAGAACAAAGTTAATTGACATAGAGTAGCAAAGATTATAATTACTCAGAGTAAATTAATTTCAGAAGAAATCTTCAAATTAAAGGAGGTGCTTAATGACAGGGCTGTTAGAGGATTTGCCGGCAATCATTATAAGGCCCACTACTCTTAACATTACTTTCTAGGTAAGAAAATCCTCCTTTTCCCATAATTTTATAGTTTTAAGTTCCCATTTTGCTATCAATACAATAAAATGTAACATCTAATCTGTCATATTTAATATAAATACCTTTATCCATGCAAAGAAGATGGTAATAGCAATTATATTGTTGTAATAAATATGCCAGTATGCAAGAAAATGGAAGTCTGAATACTTCTCAGTACTTTTTAACATCTGTCCCAGTAAGAGGAAAATTTGTATATTACAGTATGAGTTGAAGAAAATGGCCATGACACACAACTGAGGGGGAAAAGAAGAAGGGTTAAATTAGAGACTATTTCTATCTGTAGGTCTGCAGCCTATGAAGAAACACAGGACAACGTTCATCAGAAGTTTAACAGAAAGGGAGAGAGAGGTGAGACTTATGCTTTTACATAAATGGAAATAAGCCTCAACTTACACAAGTTTAAGGTAGCATAATTATGATAAAAATAGAAAAATATTGATCACCTGGCCATCCTAATCTATCTGCCTTTTTGAGTCATAAAACACAAATGTATAAAATGACTATATAATTCTGACTAGGCTGTCAGGGTTTCTGCTCCATGTAACTATGTAATATCCTAAAGTTTAATATTTTACACCATGTAACAGTATAAGGAAAAATCTTCAGTTACAAAAAACAAAAACAAAAACAAAAAAATGCACCCCTTCCAGAGCCCTTTAACAACTCTTCTAGAAGAGGATCTCAGAACCAGGTTCTCTAGGTATCAGAGCTTCAGAACTGTCATAAAAATTTTCCTTTGACTTGCCTTTCCTGAAATACGCAGATAGTTAAACATTTAATGCTTTACTAAATAATACTGGGGATGCGAGAGAGGTTGGTGGCACTTTCTGTGCGAAACTTTCAACCTGGTTTTGGGAAACCAGGCTTATATACTGGATTGGCTATCACAAAGGGCCAATTAGGGTGAAAAATCAGATTATATAAACCAGAAATGTTATTCGTTGTTCCTAAAACCAAGTTCTTAACAATTTGTCTGCTCTGCCTGCATCTCTCTGTTTACATTACGTTCTGCAGCCCAGAGCTGGCTGGCGGTCTTTGGAATTCCTTTCAGTGAGTTTCCCCAGCTCTAGTGTCCTCTGTGCTCACAGGCTTCCTTCTGGCCAGTCCTCCTCCCCCTTCAGCATCCTGCCTGGGCTTGTCCTGTGCCTGTTCTTTCGAAATACAGTGAGGAGGGAAGCAGATGGAAGCAACAGCGAAGAAAAGACCTTGCCTTCCAAAGGACCTAACGTTGTAAAGCAGCTTGCTCAAAAAGCTCCTTGATTTTCACCATGAAGCCCTATAAGGAATACTTTTTTCTGTGAGGATAGGGAAACCTGGTCACATTAAATAATAATACCTATGGAATTACCTGTTCCTCTAAATTTATGCTGGTCCTCCCAAGGACCAAATCAGGAAAAAAAAACAGACTTCCTTTTGGAGGCACACCATTAGTATATACCATAATTTTTTTTCATTATGAGTTTATGATCAATACTTGCAGCTTCTAAAATAAGTCCCAGATCAATAGAAAATTTTGCTTTTTATACCTCCCTCATTAGTGGATTCAGATGTAATTCATATATATACATGTGTGTATACATATATATACAGTTCATATATATATGAATATATACTTACCACCAAAAGTAGTAATTCCAGCCAGTTCCAAATACTTTTGAAATAGGCAGACTTAAATTCTTTCATTTTTTTGGCTTCTTGTGTTGTGAAGACAATTAGAAAAATACAAAATGTGATTTCACAGGAAGCAATAAAGTAATCATAGAAGCTAACATATCTGAGGAGCTTTACAGAGTAAAACTGCCATGAAGTAAGTATTCCTCCAGTTGCAGGGAATTCTGCCACCAATCTGAAAAAGTAAGTTTGGGAAAGAAACTACATTTTAAGCATTTATATTTCAGTATGTAACTCAATGAAAAATTTCTAATCTGTGATGATGTGTACTTTAATGGTAATTAAATGGTTATTTTGTACAAAATGTTTTCTTGGGGTCATAGGTTCAATTTAAAAATTTTCTAGTGGATTTACCTGTTTTTTAATGGCTCCAGTTTTTTTATACTGTAAATATTCATGGTGGTCAAAGACCAATGTAAATAAGAAAGTAAGACATGGTTTAGTCAGACATTCATTCTGTTCTATGCTTACATTGCTTGTTCATAACTGGGCGTACCAGGTTATCTCCACAGGAAAATGAGATGATGTACAAGAAAATGCTAACCTATTAGTTATTGTCACTAGTCAGGACTCCCCTCAAAATACATAACTCTTGAATATGTCAAAGGAGGGAAATATATTCTTCCTCTTTAGCTTCTAAGACGCTTCTTGCTTCTAAGCACCAAGATCATATAATTTACTAGAGCAAATGTTTTCCTACTTTAGTCACTGGCTGCTGAATACAGAATATATGCAAGTAGAAGCATAAAAATTAATTCCAACACGAGTATAAAAAGATTTTGAGGTTGTCCACTGTATTTCTTGTGTTCTCCACAACTACAGATAATTAAGAATTGGCAATGATTTAAGCAACAAGCATCTCTATCATAATGCCACAATGTAATTATTCCTACCTAAAGATATTAGCAGATGTTGCTAGTACTGCAATAAGGTGCTGCCAAAAAAATAAAAATAAAAACAAAACAACCAGTTAAACAAAAAAGAACTGTTTGTTTCGGCTTGCATATAGTAGGTGTGTACAATGTTTGATAAGTGAGCAAAGTGAAAGACACTCAACATTTTGATCTGAAGTGTAGACTAATAAAAAAGGGAAATAACAGCATTTAGTTTAATTTGCCAGATATGTATACTAAAAGGAAAATAAGTGGATAAGACATTAACATAAACAAATAATACGCTTCCATACAACTACTGGTTATATATGCTACTGGTTAAATTTTAAAAATCTGACGTTTCTAAAGAATAGCATTTTATTTTTTATTATTTTTACTTTTTTTTCACAGAATGTCTATTTATTTGTCTAATTTCAGTAACACTTTGTTGTTTAAAGCATATGTCTTTTTATTTTTTTTATTAAGGTATCATTGATATACAATCGTATGCTCAGGTTTCACATGAGCAACACTGTGGTTACTTCATTCCTCCTATTATCAAGACCCCCCCACATACCCTATTACAGTCACTGTCCATCAGCGTAGCAAGATGCTATAGAGTCACTGCTTGTCTTCTCTGTGCTGTATACTTCCTTCCCTGTGCCCCTGCTATATTGTGTGCTAATCATAATACCCTTTAATCCCCTTATCCCTCCCTTCCCACCCACCCTCCACAACCCCTTTCCCTTTGGTAACCGCTCATTCTTGGGTTCTGTGAGTCTGCTGCTATTTCGTTCTTTCAGTTTTTGCTTTGTTGTTATACTCCACAGATGAGTGAGATCATTTAGTACTTGTCTTTCTCCACCTGGCTTATTTCACCGAGCATAATACCCTCTACCTCCATCCATGTTGTTGCAAATTGTAGGATTTGTTTTTTTCTTACGGTCGAATTAATATTCCATTGTGTATATGTACCACATCTTCTTTATCCATTCATCTCTACTGTTGGACAATTAGGTTGCTTCCATATCTTGGCTATTGTAAAAAGTGCTGTGATAAACATAGGGGTGCATATGTCTTTTTGAATCTGTGCTCCTGTTTTCTTAGGGTAAATTCCTAGGAGTGGAATTCTTGGGTCAAATGGTATTTCTATTTTTAGTTTTTTGAGGAGCCTCCATATTGCTTTCCACAATGGTTGAACTAATTTACATTCCCACCAGCAGCGCAGGAGGGTTCCCCTTTCTCCACATCCTCGCCAGTATTTGTTGTTGCTTGTCTTTTGGATATTGGCCATCCTAACTGGTGTGAGGTAGTATCTCATCATTGTTTTAGTTTGCATTTCCTTGATGATTAGCAATGTAGAGCATCTATGTGCCTGCTGGACATCTGAATTTCTTCTTTGGAGAAGTGTCTGTTCAGATCCTCTGACCATTTTTTAATTGGGTTATTTGCTTTTTGGGTGTTGAGGTGTGTGAACTCCTTATATATTTTGGATGTCAACCTGTTATTGGATATGTCATTTATGAATATATTCTCTCATACTGTAGGATGCCTTTTTGTTCTACTGATGGTGTATTTTGCTGTACAGAAGGTTTTTAGTTTGATGTAGTCCTACTTGTTCAGTTTTGCTTTAGTTTCCCTTGCCCGAGGAGGTAAGTTCATGAAAAAGTTGCTCATGTTTATATTCAAGAGATTTTTGCCTATGTTTTCTTGTAAGAGTTTTATGGTTTCATGACTTACATTCAGGTCTTTGATCCACTTCAAGTTTACTTTTGTGTATGGAGTTAGACAATGATCCAGTTTCATTCTCTTACATGTAGCTGTCCAGTTTTGCCAACACCAATTGTTGAAGGGTTGTCATGTCCTCGCTATATGTCCATGGCTCCTTTATCATGTATTAATGGACCATATATGTGTAGGTTTACATCTAGGCTCTCTATTCTATTCCATTAATTTATGGCTCTGTTCTTGTGCCAGTACCAAATTGTCTTGATTTCTGTGGCTTTGTAGTAGAGCTTGAAGTTGGGGAGCATAGTCTCCCCAACTTTATACCTCCTTCTAAGGATTGTTTTGGCTATTCGGGGTCTTTTGTGGTTCCATATGAATTTTAGAACTATTTGTTCCAGTTCATTGAAGAATGCTATTGGTATTTTGATAGGGATTGCATTGAATCTGTAGATTGCTTTAGGCAGGATGGCCATTTTGGCAATATTTATTCTTCCTTCCCACGAGCATGGGATGAGTTTCCATTTGTTAGTGTCCCCTTTAATTTCTCTCAAGAGTGTCTTGTAGTTTTCAGGGTATAGGCCTATCACCTCCTTGGTTAGGTTTATTTGTAGGTATTTTATTCTTTTTGATGAAATTGTGAATGGAATTGTTCTCCTGATTTCTCTTTCTGCTGGTTCATCGTTAGTATATAGAAATGCAACCAATTTCTTTGTATTAATTTTGTATCCTGCAACTTTGCTGAATTCAGATATTAGTTCTAGTAGTTTTGGAGTAAAGAATAGCATTTTAAAAGGTAACAGAATAAGCATAAAAGCTAGAGACAGTATATCTGGACTTAATCTAGTATTACAAGGAGTTCTTCATATGACTTTAATTAAGTCACCCCAATATTTCTACCCTTGTTTAGGACATAGAAATGATTTGTATTCTTCACTTTATCCTGATCAGGAGTACTGGGAAGGGTGAAAGAAAGAAACTAGAAGAAAAGGTATAATATCTATTGGCTGCTTAAGATAATTCATTTGTTTTATTCATTTTTACAAATTTTAAAGGCCATGGTTGTGTTTCACTGTCACTGGTGTACAAGGTAAAAGCCCCAATCAGAGAAAATACCAAGTCCATATTCCATTCAGAGTAAAAATATAATACTCATGAGGGAAAAGTGGCTCACTAGCCTTTGTTTGCCTGTCTAGTGGTCGTTATCCCCGTCCTTTCTTACAGAACCCTGATTGTATCAGGCGTCCACCCATTCCACATCATGCAGAGGATGCCAGGCAGTCCCCAGAGAGATCCAATCATGGTAATCCTATTTCCTTTGTCAGTGTTTAATTATAGAACCCACGCATATAACCCAATTAGCATGGTCCAGGATAGGCAGGTGACCTAAGGTAATCAGACAAATGGAAAGAAATTTTTATCTTTGGGTTGGTTCTCTCTCTTTCTCCTCATGACAGATGTCTCTCATCCTCCTGGGCTCAACGAATGAGCAACAGAAGAGGTGTAAGAGAGCAAATTTTAATATATAAACTCATTTTAAGCTTCTGCATGTATCGTATCTGCTAATATGCTACTGACCAAAGCAAGTCACGTGGTTGAGCCCAGCATCACAGGGGCAGTGTACCCTGCCCTGGGTGGCAGGGCACCAAGTTTACATGGTGAAAATGTGAAGAACTGGGGCCATGTTTGCCTGTCACCACAGGCTCTAATCATTTCTAAGATCCTGGCTACTGTTACCTATTGTTTGAAATTTAAATTGTTCATTCTTGAGACAAAAACTAATAATAAAGAAGCTCATTCTGAAAGGAAATCAACAGACTTGAATGATCTGATTTAGAGGAAGCAATCAGCAAGACTGTTAGATTAGGGCTACTGAGAATGGTAAGAAATAAGACTATGTATCCTTAAGTAATACAAAACTAACATTGTATGTAATTTTCTATGTTCTTTAATGTTCTGAAAAAATTAGTGAATCTGATGTTGCTTTACCCTCTTTTCCATTATTGGCAGAACTACATTATATTTTGAAGCCTATGATTTTAATCTCATTGCAAATATGCACAAACTGGAAACCCTAATAAAGGCTCTGATGCTTTTTAAATTCAATATATTAATAAAGAAGTTTTGAGCCACTCACCTGATGATGCAAAAGAGATTTACATTAGCATTGTATAATGAAAAATCAATAAAAACAACTCTAGTCCCTCTTGTGATCCAGCTGTGCAGTCGAAGGTTAATAAATTTGCTTTTGGTTTCAGATTTTGATCTTGATAAAGTGAAAATATATCCCCCATTTCGGTAAACACCAAAAAATCCCCAGTGCCAAGGGTAGTTGGCACTAGGCGTAGAGTATTTCCATCTGTTAGATAGAAAAAGAGAGATGAAAAAGCCTGGCTGAGAGGTATTCTAAGCATTTAATTAAGCTAACTTTTTTGGTTCAAAAGCACTAGTATAGTTTGGTTCAAAAAAAGAGTACTAAGTTAAAAAGTATTATAGTAATTTTGAAGCAAGACAATGAGCTAAGGATTAAAAGGATTAAGATTTAATGTTTTATCTTTTACTGCTTACTGTAGGTGATACACTGGACTAGAGTCTATGAGAAAATGGAAAAAAAACCCATCTATCGCCTCAGGGACCTTAAAATCTAGAAAATAATGACTGCTTTTTAAATTTAAAATGTTGTCTCTATAATCTTAAAAAATCTTTATTCTTTGAACAATTATTCATTCTTTGGACGAGATTATCAAGGGTTTTGATTCAGAACATCCCAGTATGGGAAAAAAAGGTGCTTCATAGTCTGTCTTCTAAAGGTCATGTACCACTTATAAATGCCCCCCACCGCCAAAAAGAACTCTGTTATATAGATATCTTATTTTAATGAAATATCATACATCAAAGTACGATGTGTATAACTAAATTTTGTTTATTGTCTTTCTACTTTTAATTATGGGATATTTTTTAAAAATCCATTTTCTCATTTTAGTTCCTATTTAGTTTCCCCAAAAGAGATTTGAACAACTATCCCAAAACACAATGCTTAAAGTCATTTTTTATTAATAATACTATGTCAGTATTATTAGCAGTGGGGGAGGGAGAAGTGACACCACTCAGAAAAAATATTCATATTTATTGAAAATTCCATATTCTTATTGAGTGTTTTCCACATGATTGTTAAGCCGAAACAATACTTTTTATACCAACCCTCTCCTACTTTCAATTTTTTGCTTTTAATGAATTAATGTTGCAGTTGAGATAGACAAGCACAAATTGATTCTTATTTTGGTTGTTAGGGAATGACAGGTATTACAATCCCAAATCCATAGTCTAATTTTGGCATTTAAATTATTTTTAATTGTTATGATAATTTGAAATATTAGAATATCTAACAGATTAGTCTTGAGATTCCAGTTTAAAAGGTATAATTAAATAATTGATTTGCCTTACAATTTTCACTGAAAGGGAAATAGTATATAGTGCTATAATATTTAAGAGTATGTGTCACCATACTTATGAATCTATTAGATTTATGAGAATTATACAAGCACTTTGTCACCCTCAAGAACACCCAAAAGCTCATACAAAGAAAAAAACAAGTCATAAAAACTCATAAAGCAATGATTAATCCTGAGGGTATGGAAGAGATCATTAAAGAAAGGAATGTGATTGCTCATATTTATAAACATTGATTAATGATTAACAAAAATTATGGTATAACTACAGGCTAAGAGGAACAAAGTGTGTGTAGAGGGTGTGGCATAAGAGGAATACACATCAGACATCTTCCATGATAGAGACATTAGATATATAAAATTGTAAAAATCAAGTAACAGCAGTATAAGCACGTTATTTAGAAACAGGAAGTAAACTTATTTCTATTTAGAAATAGGATAAAATACTAATTCCTATTTACAAATAGGAATATACCAGAAGAAACAACTAAAAGAACTAAAAGAAGCTGCTTTTGAAGTGTGAATTATGACTAGGAAAGGATGGGCCTTTGTAACTATTTGTATCACTTTGATAAATACTAAATTTTAAAAAAGACTTATTCTCTGCTCCCTGTGATTTACATAGGAACCTAAAAGCAGTGATACCAGCAGCTCCGTGTTAAGGGGTGGGAGCATCAGTGGCTTTGAACTTTCAGGTTTTCAGTATCAAGTGTAGATATGAGTTGACAACAGCATCAGCCTCAGCCACTTTGCAGAACAGTGACTCTAATGTCTTTGGCAACATCATCAGGCGCAGTGCCTGTAGAGCTTAACTGCCCTTTTTTAGTATTGGCAACAGTAGGTGTCACTGAAGTAAGCCAGCGTGAGAAAGAAGGAAAGCAGCAGAGCGCAGCCTCACACACTTCCTGAGGATCCCAAGAAGCATTTGGGATGTGTGTAACCCTGGCCAGAATCAGAAAAGCTGAGTAACTGCATATTGTAAAAGCAAAAATGGGCACTTTGCCCTGTGTATGATATGACTTAGCATTTCATATACCATAGTCAGAAAGAAAACACTTTACCTTCTTTGGTAAACAAAAAAAGAACAGGTTCAACGCTTCCTTTTCTAAACTGCGTCCCTGAGCCTTCCTGTGATACTATTATTTAAATAGTGTCCTTACCTGCCAGACCCCTGCTGGTATTATTTAGAAAATACACATATTTTCACAATTAGTTAAAGATACAATGGTAAACTGCTAGAAAAAGTTATGTGTAATTTCATCCTACTTACTCAGTATCCTGCTTAAGGCCAAACTCAGACAGGTCTTCACTTGCAGGAGTGTATCTGTCATAACATTCACTCATCAAGGACTTGAAGGATGAATAGACCTTGCAGGTGTTGTTGCGGACTTTTAGTTGACGGACTCTGGGGACTCCTAAAAGTATGTTCTCATAGTAGATACGACTGCTGTTATTTAAATTATATAACTTCTTGTTATTGTACCACGAGTCCCAGTACAGACCTTCCAAAAGGGGTCCTTCCATAAACTTCATATAGAAAGATAAATGTTATGGGGAAAATATTTTCATGTCAAGTGTTTAATAGAATCTACTCTCATTATTTATCCTTAAAAGTATCAAAATCAGTGATTTTCAGGATGAGTATGAAAATTATTGAACAAGCACCATTAACATCAGTGGCAATGATAATGGTGGTGGTGATGTTAATGAAGATGGGTAACATTTACTGAGAACATACTATCTACTAGTATGACTAGTACTATGTACCAGTACTTAGGTACTGCTCTAAGCACTTTAATGGTATTAACTCATTAATTCCATAACACCTCTTCTTCCTTACATGAGGAGAATACTGAAAATTGTCCCCCAATACATGATGTAGCCACACATCATGACTTTACTTCAAAGTTATGACCCTCTTCCCGACAGTTCTGGTAGTGGTGTCTGCTGCTCCTGGCTCTGACCTATCTGCTTTTCCTAAGAGGTCCTGAGCCCAGGGTTCATTTTTTTTCTTTCCTGCCTTGTCGTCTTTGACATTGGCTATGAAAACCTCAAGACAACACAATAAAAAAGCAGTGTGAGCTCCTTCTTCTTGTCGCAGGGAAAATTTCCTATCATTCTTTCGTATTTCACCTGGCCTAAACCAATGACCTCTAATCATCTGCCCTCATCTCATCTGTATCCTTTCATTCTGGGGAACTGATCTTGTCTCTTTTGTAAGTTTCAAATTCCTAGCATGGCTTTCATGATTTGACTTCTGGCCAATTCATAGTTTGGCCTTTTCCATCTCGTCTTCTTTATGCCTGTAATGCCAAACATAGCTCCATATGTAGAATTAATTGTAGCACATATTGTTTATTCTTCGTATTCTTCCATTACTGCTCCTTTAAATGTCAACTGACTTATCATCTCTGCGACACCTTCCCTACCTCTTCCTTGTCTGCCCCAATGTTTGTGTCTTGGAATACCAGAAACTGCGGTTCCCTTAATTGCTCTCCTTATAATGTGAACATCTTGCCAAGTTAAGGGTAAAAGAAAACACAAGTCTGTTTCAATGTTGAAGGAATGATTCTCTTATATAATTAAAGGCACTATAAAATTATATTTTGTATATGTACTCTTTGTCATATATTGTACATTACTGTAACACAGTACAGGGTTGGATACCAAAATCACATATTTCACGTTATGGGCAATTTAAGGAATTTTTACTATATACAATTATAGACTGAGTTTAGACCCTAACCCCCACATTAGAAGTCCCGTATTTTTCAAATGCAATGATGTTTAAAAAAAAAGTTATCTTTTAAAGTTGTTAGAACTCTCATTACACTGAGAACACTTGTTCTCAATAAACACTGGTTGGTTGATTCTAATAGTTTAAAGAAGTTGTATTCATTTTTACTCATTCCTTCAACAAATATGTATTGACTGCCTAATATTAGTGGCAAGGTTTGTTTATGCAGTATCTAAAGCTACTTCATCCGCAGTCCATGGTAGCTTACCTTCCAAAAATCAGTTATGCTGCGAATAGACTTAAAGTTGGTTCTTTCATCACCAGGCACAGAAGTGTCCAAAAATAGAGATGACATAACTTTGTTTAAGTAATACATATGTGGGTTTACCATTCCAAAAGTCACTAAAGGGAAGAATTTTTTTTTTAAATAGCTTATCAGGATTTAAAATGTACTTAAAATTTGTTCCCAATTTTGTTTTGAAAATTCAATTTAATTTTTTTGTCTAATTATGAAAAGTAATAAAAACTAAAATATAAATATATAGAACAGGAAGATGTTTCCTGTAATCTCACTGCTAGGCATATATTCTTCAAATTTTTCTATATGCATATACATTTATAAAGAAAATAACTTATTTTTATAAAAATGAGATCACATATATACATACTATTCTGAAAATTGGCCTTTTCTCCATATTGAGAATAAATAGTTAAGGCTGTGGACTTTGAATTCAAACAGATAACAGTTTGAGTCCCATCATAAGGCTAGTATCTCTTCATTGCTTTGTTTTAAGTGAGATAGTGCATGTGGGACACTTAAAAGTATGTTTTGGCACATGGTAAGAATATAAAAAAATATTGCTAGTATTATTTCTATGTTTCTAGGTATGGGTGAGTAGGTTTTAGAGTTGGGTGTAGACTGTCTTTTTTACTTGCTAGAATCTCCTTAGTTTTTAGAAATGCGTATCTTCAACATCATTCCATGGAACACAAGCCTATGCCATTTTTTAATGTTGAAAATTATTTCACTGTATATATACCAAAAAGTTAAATCCTCCATTGACAAAGATTTGTTTTCAACTCTTCCTAATTATAAAAAGGTGTTTTTAAATCCCTAAATAATGGAATTATGAATGATTGTTTTTATTTTTCCATTCCTCAAATGTTCTGTAATAAGCATTTAAAAACCAGTCTAAGATACCTTAATTTATGATTGGGTATAGTTGTCTTTTTAATCAAGGTCTGACTCACATTTACCCTTATCACACCAATGTATTAGTTAACTGATATGTAACTGCCAGTCAGTGGGCCATACCAACATGAGATAATTTAGGCCAGTCAGCTTACATCTATCCTATGTTGGATACTCTAAAGACAAAATGCTCTTTAATACTGATTAAGTCAATGCTCTTGACCCACAGGTAGACGGAACACAGGTTGAGATGTTCTACCAGTCTTCCTTAAAGACTTTCATGATCCATACCTTCTGTGACTCACTCAGCACTAGCATATTTTACTATTAACTGCACAACAGGTCAGGGAAAGACACTAAGACCACCTTCTTTGGCCTCATTTGTAGTTTGACCTATAAAACTGAGCTAATGTATCTATATGATTCTAAAGGAAATCAAGTTAGAAGCGCCAACTCAAGGGAATAATTATATTCAAGACAGAACTGCCAACTGAAGGGAATCATTAATTGAATCAATGTTGACTATTGAAGCTTTTCATTACATCTGTGACCTAAAGTTTTGCCCTGTAAGAATTGGAAACAGTGTCAATCTAAATGAATTTAAGATAATGTTTAAAATATGTCACTATTATTTGAGAGGTTTTAGTAGTCTGAAAACCTATGGTTTTATAAATCCATTTGTATTGTTTTTCATCTCTACATAACTTAGTTCAAACAGCATCTTCAGCTACATCTGTGTACTTACATATACATAGGTTTATTAAAAAAATGAAGTAGAGTAACAACTCCTGAATTTCTACTTCCTTTCTGTAATGCAGCTTATGTTTTGGAGTCCCTGTGAAATATAAAACAAAAATTTTCCTTATATTATTAATTTATAATGTATATAAATAACAATGGGAAAACATAACCGCTTTTAGCTATTACACTGGGTGAAAGAAAGCTCCAATGGCTTCTGGGTTTTTTTTTATTCTTAAAGGAATAACTACTAACATTTTCCCACGGGGGCATGGGGCAGTCATTTTATGGCTGCATACTAATTAATTTTATGACACGGAGGTCTGTCTCCTCACCAATCTCGTCTTAAAATGAAAAAAGCACAAAACAAAAACCCCTCATCCTTTCCGCACCCGTCAGTACTGCTCCCTGGGATGACTGACGTCTGTTGGAGGGGGAGGCCTCTGCGTGGGGGTCTGTCAAGGTCACGGCTCCCTAAATCAACGAAGGACCTCGGAGACCGGCCTAATGACTCCCATTGTACAGCAAGTTGACAGCGCCAGCTCCAGCCTTGGGCAAGCCGCGAGTGTGGCCCTTCCTTCGGGGCTTCAGTTTTCCAGTCTGTGAAACGGGACCACCGGCCAGACCGCTTCTGCAGGGTAGGCTTGCGAGGGTTAAACGTACTAGAGGTCAGAGAGGTCATATGTCTCACATGAATTGATAAGGGGTTGCAAAGTTTCTTCCAGGGTATTTAGAACTACCAGATCGGCCCTGCCTCACCCACTCCCAAAAATCACCCCTCAGTACCTCGGCGCCACCAGAACGACTCACGCATGGCGGATACGGACCACGACGCCCCTCGACTCCCCAGGTCTACCGCGCCTGCGCAATAACTTAGCGGCGCGGGCCGTCTAGCTCATGCGCCTGCGCGAGTCCTCCAGCATCTCGAGGCTCACCAGCCGCGCTACAAGTTGCAGGCGCGCGTGCGCACCGCGGACCCCTAGCGGGGCTTCGGCGGAGGCGGGGCTGGAGGTCGCGGCGTCTGTCTCCTGCGGAGGGGCGACCGCACGCACGAATGTGTGTTTGGGCCTCGGGTTAATCATAAAAGTCGTAGTCATTAATTGCAACGGGCTACTCTTTCTTGAATACCTTTAACATTTATTGGCTTGTTTAGTCTTCATACCCCCTTCCTGAAAGGTAGGTGTTTTGTCCTCGTTTTAGGTCTGAGGTTCTGAGAGGGTGGATGCCAGCACGGTGCGCGGCTGGCTGGGCGAGGTCCGCGGGGCGCCGGAGCCCGAGTTAACCGGACCGCACGCTGCCGCTGCTGCTCGCGGAAACCGGTTATCATTAGCTGTTGCCAGAAACAGCCTCCACCCCTCTTTCCACCCAGTATGGCTAAAGAGAACGTAAAAGTAGATTAAAAAAAAAAAAGATAAAACTTTGCAGTGCTTACGTAAAAGGGTAAGTCATGACAGCCTGCTCGGGAGCCCAGACCCACATCTGGCCCAGCAGCTTTGCAAAGGTGAGGAGGAGGTTTGTAAACCAGCTACAGAAAAGGCCGAACAAATCTGGTTGTAAATTAAGGCATCCAGAAGCCCACCAGGATATGAGACAGGAGGGATTCTCATGTTGGTAAAAAGGAAAATAAAACAATTCAGTTGAAAGGCCAGAGCAGCCAGCAAAGAAAACCATCAAGCCTATTTTGAAAGTAAAAAATAAAGCCACTTTTGTTATTTCCCTGAAAGAGATGTAGAGTGATGTTGGTAAATGCTGTTTTATGTGCAGATAAAAAGCAAAACTAGGCCACACAGCAGTAAGGATCAAATAACAGCGATAAAAGGAATAGAAGACGCCTAGCAAAAGGCCGACAGCCAGGGGAGTAGAGGCCTGAGGGGAAAAAAGGGCTACTATCCTAGCTTAAGAATAGTTTAATTAAAGGATTTGCCTTTTCCTGTACTTGGACTCTCAGATGCTCCCAAAATTATGCTTTCTAATGTAATACGTTTTATAAACTTGAAATATGGGAGAAAAATATCCCCCCAAATGTAGATACTGGAATGTACATCAAATGTAAGAAATAAGCAGATGACTCTACAGGCCATTCTTACTCCACTGAGCTTTACAGACCAAAAGATCTTGTAGAAATAGAGACCTATTTGGCTAAAACAAAATCACAATTTGAGAGATTGTCATGATTTAAGTTACTATGGTTGCCTTGAAGTGCAACCTATGGAAAGTCTAGCTCAGTTTCAAGAGGAATTGACTGAGCTGTTGCGTGAGCTTCACCAAGAAGACACTTACTTGTGTTCTAGACTATAATACTGTTGCTCTTTTGGAATTGTTATTCATAGGCTTTGCTGAGTGTTACTGAATATGTAAAAGCCAGAAGTTTTATTTTAAAGATCTAGACTTTTTAAGAGGAGACAGTTTGTTTTACACATTTTAAATTTTATTCTCTTTTGACATTAAATTGTGGAACACTCATCATCTATGCCATGTTAGTATTCCTATAAGAGAAAATGGATAAAACAGTATTTAGAAAGCTGTACCAGTAAACCGTATTACAAGCATTAGATGTGTTTAAAAAGTTGATATTAATTCACAGCCTGTAATTGTTAAATGTGTATGGCTTAAATGTTAAAATCCCACATTTTAAGATAGTCTTCTACAATTACAAACACATATTCCCACATTTTCTGTAGGCTTCACAAACCAGAGAAGTAGATAGAATGTGCAAGAGTCAAAGGATATTAGTTATATTACCTAATTAAAGCCATAATCTGTTAATACAGCTATGGATTTATTTTTAAATTTTAATTGAATATATTACTAATGATGTAGTTGTGTTTTCCAATGTTGGGAAAGTTATTAAAGCTCTTCACTTTCATAGAGTCCAGATTGAGCTGCCAGACGCTGAAACTCTCCTTCAGGGTTAAAAGCTTGTTTCACATCCAGACCTTTGCCATTAAGTGCTAAATACTTGCTGAAAGTTGGTCGAACACGTAACTGCTTAGGAGCTGGAAGAATTTGGTTTGGACGGGCTGAAAAAGGTCAAATGAAAGTTAGTTCAGAAAACCTGTTCTAAGTAGATGGGTTGTACTAGGTATTCGTTACCAGACAGGAGAAGAAACAAAATGAAAACTGATTACATATGGGGAAAAATCCCTCAAGTTTTATACTATGCATTTTTATTTTATGCTGGGATTTGTGTTTCTTATTGAATCTACCTGGTGAAGTCCTTTATAATACTTGTGTTGATAGTGTGACATACCTGTAACATCTAATCTTGTGTTACATGTGGTCACTCCAGCTTCATTAACTGCGGACACAGTATACCACCCAGCATCTTTCTTGTTTACATCTTTTATCAGTAAAGTAACTCGTCCAGAATTATCATGATATAAGCTGAAAAGAAACAATAAAAAAAGAAAGTATAGGAATTAATTTTCCAGTGGAAGTTTATGATGCCTCTGATCTAGTAGTAAGAAGAAAAAGCATTTGGAAATTCTGAGGCTGTACTTAGTCATTACAAATAGCTATTGGTTTTCTTGAATTAAACATATCCCCTTAATCTTGTTTATGCCATTTATTTCCTTGAGCCATCTTTTTTAATGTGCAGACAAAAAGCATCATTCTTTATTGTTAGTAAAAGGGTCTTAGCCTACATTATGACTTAAATTTCCAATGAGTGGAATCTGGTTTAATGAGGTTTATTATATTTCTGTATGTGTTTTAAAAACCAGACAAAGTGAGATCACAAATGCATGCCATTTATAATGCATTTCAAAGTATAACTTGATTCACCCAAATAAATAATAGTTAAGTCTAAAAATGCTTATCTTACCTTATTCGATCCGTGTTGAATTGTACCATTTCATTATTTTTTTTCCAGAAAAGCTTTGGTGGAGGTACAGCTGAGATTTGGCATTCTAGCTTCACTGACTCTCCCTCAAACACTTTTTTGCTTTGTGGTTTGTAGATAAACATTGGTGCCCTTCTATGTTCTTTTGCTACATATTAATACAAAAATACAAGTATTTGAAATATTTTTAAAAAGATACTGAGTCAAACGAAAGTATTATGAAATTTGTAGGTTGATATGAAAGTTTTAAAAAGTACTGACAACAAGATTATGTTTTAGTTAAAAAATATGTAATACTATTGTATTATTATACCATGTAGAGTTCTAAAACAGTAGTATAATGATGCATTGAATTTATAATCATGTTTCATATAAAGAATTTAATCATAATCTAATTTATCATCACATCTATAAGAGAGGAGCATGAATGGTGGAAAGACTAGATAGTGTGGGTTCAAATTCTCTGTTTGCCCCACCAGCCATGCCAAATTGGGAAACCTATTTTTAGTTTCTCTGAGGCTCAGTTTTATCTATTGTAAAATAACATCCAGGTCATAGTGACTGCTGTGCATACCACACAAAATAATTGTGAGGATCAGTTGAGATAATGAGTGAAGAGGCATTTTGTGAGCTAAAATAATATATAAATGTCAGGATTTATTGTTTTTATGTTTCTTCTTTTCCTCAAATACATGAGGGAAAGGAGGAAATGACACTATCATATTATATTATACAAACTAGTTTTTCTGAAGGAGAAATGAGGTTGGACAGATGGTCTGCCAAGGTTTCTTTAAGCTCTTACGTTATAGAATAGAGCTTTTAGCACAGAGATTTTGCCTCAAGCTTAATCATTTGAATTTTATTTTTTGTGTAAGGCACTTAAGTTGTAGTATTTTAAAACAGAACATGAATTTTGTAAGAATTGCCTTACCAAAGACAAATTTGAGACATGAGTTTTGCCATACCCATTTTCTAAAAAGTAGGCATGCTTTTGTTATAATTAGAAACTAGTTTCCTAGTAAAGAACATAGTCTAAGTAACTTTGACATTTACTCTGGAGTTTTAAACTACATGTATTTATAACAATTCTGTAAAAATAAGATTATTTTAGACTGTAGATAAATGATTAGACTAAAACTTTTCACTTCAAGACCCTTTAAAAACATCTAGAGATGCTTCTACTACCTTATTTGGTCTAAAGTTATACCATTTTTTTCATTTCCTTTCCAGAAAAGCTTTGGTGGTAGATGTGTCATTCCAGTTTCACTGAGTTTCCTTAAAAAAATGCTGGTTCCCCCCCACCCCCTGCTATGGCTTCTAGATAATAATAGGTGTTCCACTTGGTTTGTAGGTATTAACTTTAAATATGAAGTGTTCTGGGTTTTTCTTTTTTAACGCTTTTTTTTAACTGCTGGATTTTAAGGCTTTCTTGAAGATTGCTTTGAAGGCTTACCCAGGACGTCCAGCTGCACAGTAAAGGTGGCTTCTCCTGCTCTGTTCTTGGCAACACATACATAAGCCCCTGCATCTGAAGTTCTGACCACTTCAAAGATGAGTGAATGAAAACCCTTTTCAGATACTATCATTTTGTGAAAATCATCAGATTGAACTGGTCTTCCATTTAGAAACCATGACACATCAGGAGCTGGCAGTCCACTCACCTAGATGTGGAAACACAAGGAGATGACAGAATGTTAAATTATAGCGTCATTGGAACCTATTTGTCCGCTTATAAATTTCAACAATTCCTGCATCCGAGTGGGTTTGTGATTGAAAATGAAAAGCAAGGGCTTAAAAAGTTACTTGCTTTTAACAATTTTTTAACAAAACTGTGGAAATTAAAATTCTCAACATGAGTATAGTATTTTCAGACTATCTCAAATCCCATCCCACAAATTGGGAAAAATTTTTTTTAGTTTATCTGAGGCTCAGTTTTATCTTTAGTAAAATAATATTCAGGTAACAATGACTGCTCTGCTTACCACACAAAATTACCGTGAGGATCAATTGA